TCTACTTGCGATAGACGTACTGACGTAGACAGGCAACCCGCTCAACACCACAGGATGTCCCGACATGGAGGCGCTCGGCGGAAACGCCACCTTCAACTGGAACAAGACTGGTATCCCGAACAACGACAAGATCTGGCGCATGCCCAACCAGGGCAAGATCGACTGGAACGAGAAGGGCGCGACCTTTGCCATTGAGCGATCCGGCGACTCTCCCACGGCGAACTCGGTCTTTTACATGCTCTTCGGCCGCCTCGAGGTAGTCATGAAAGTGGCTACCGGCAAGGGTATCATCTCCAGTGCCATCCTGCAGTCCGAGGCGCTCGACGAGATCGACTGGGAGTTCCGCGGCGACGACAAGATGATCCTGACCAACTACTTCGGCAAGGGAGACACCGAAACCTACGACCGCGGCAAGGACTTTGATCTTGGCTTCGCACCCCAGGACGACTACCACAACTACACCATCGACTGGACGAAGGACCGCATCAAGTGGTATGTGGACGACAAGGAAGTCAGAGAGCTCACCCCGGAGGAGGCTAAGAACGGCACTCGCTACCCTCAAACACCAATGAACATCCGTCTCGGATCGTGGGCTGCGGGTGACCCCAACAAGAACGACCCTGGTGTTATTGAGTGGGCTGGTGGCGTGACAGACTTTGACAAGAGTCCCTACATCATGACGATCCAGTCCGTCTACGCGGAAGACTACACCAAGGCTGCCAAGTACTCGTGGGAGGGCATGGACGCATCCGGTGACTGGGAGAAGGTCAAGGTCATCCAGTAAGTTTACGTCCGTCACCCAACCAGCACAGAGCTAACAGATCACAGGGGCAAATCCGAAACTCTCGAAGAGATCAAGTCTCCCCACGGAGTCAGGAACCGCTTCAACGACCTTTCCAAGGGCGCCAAGATCGGCATCATCGCCGGTATCCTCGGCTTCGTAGCCATTGCCTCCATCATCATCCTCTTCTGCTGCATCAAGCAGCGCCGCGCAGGCAGGAAGGAGGCCCAGGCACTCCTCGCCGAAGAGCAAAAGGAGGCTGCCGAGCTGAGCGAGTACAAGGCGCAGATGCAGGCAGGCAGGTTTGCCATGGGGTCCAACAACCGCGTCTAGAAGCCACGAGGGGGGGGGGGGCGTAGTTGGAGTTGCGGATATAACAATTCTTAATAGGAAGGGGTTTTCTTGCAGCTGGAAGGCAGCTTTCCTTGTTGAATAGAGGCTGTTGTTCCCTTGTCATGTCAGTGTTACGACCAGTTGATTTTTTGTTTCTTGCATGCTGTCCTTTTCATATACCCTTGCGCTGCTTGTTGTCGACCAAGGCTATAGCTTAGTATTTAGTTTGCAATACACTTAACACGGCTTGATGTTGTGTGGTTAAGATCTGACGGCATGCGGCTCTGCAGCATCGCAGCGGCACAGTGCGTGAATGGTTGGTGGCGGCTGACATGTGACGGGCGGTCTCCACAACCCCGGACATATGGGCATGCATGGTGCGGCCTGCGCCGGCTAACTTTAAGCTGCCTCGGCATGTGAGCGGCGGGCTTCCGTCGTTGACTTTCACCACTGCCACATTCGTTTCCTCAACTCTCAACCAATATTGCAAAATGGCTTCTTTTTCACGATCAATAAGACCCCTCACTCGCGTTGCTACCGCTTCGTCGCGTTCGCTGCGACCGGCTGCCCGCGCCGCCCCGCAGTATGTCAACACCACGAAGGCGATAATATAAAGACTAACACGACGTCTGCACAGATTACGATGCCTCTCTACGACTGCCGCCCGCCGGGAAGCCATTGACATCTCAGATGTGCCACCGACGCCCATTACCCACCTGTCCGAGACGGAGATGCTCATGGGCGAGTCCGTCTCGAAATTCGCCAACGAAGCCATCCTGCCCAAGGCGCGAGCCATGGACGAGGCCGAAGCCATGGACCCGGCGGTAGTGGAGCAGCTCTTCGAGCAAGGCCTTATGGGCATCGAGATACCCGAGGAATACGGCGGCTCAGGCATGAACTTCACATCAGCCATCATCGCCATTGAGGAGCTCGCGCGCGTCGACCCCAGTGTGAGCGTCATGTGCGACGTCCACAACACACTCGTCAACACGGCCATTCTGAAGTACGGCTCCGAGAAGCTCAAGAAGGAATGGCTTCCTAAGCTCGCCACCAACACCGTCGGTTCCTTCTGTCTCTCAGAGCCCGTATCCGGATCCGATGCCTTCGCGCTCGCTACAAAGGCCACACGAACAGACAACGGCTACAAGATCAGCGGAAGCAAGATGTGGATAACGAACAGCGTTGAAGCCAACTTCTTCATCGTCTTCGCCAACCTCGATCCCAGCAAGAAGTACAAGGGTATCACTGCGTTTATCGTAGAGAAGGGCACACCGGGCTTCTCTATTGCGAAGAAGGAGAAGAAGCTCGGTATCAAGGCGAGCAGTACCTGCGTCATCAACTTCGACGACGTCGAGATCCCCAAGGATAATCTGCTGGGTAAGGAGTTTGAGGGCTACAAGTACGCTATTGCGCTGTTGAACGAGGGTCGTATTGGTATTGCTGCGCAGATGACTGGTCTTGCGCTGGGAGCTTGGGAGAACGCCGCTGGGTATGTCTTCACTATCTCCCCCAACCCTTTTCCACACATTCACTAACCACCCCACAGCTACGCCTGGAACGACCGCAAGCAATTCGGCCAACTCATCGGCGAATTCCAATCCATGCAGCACCAACTCGCGCAGGCCTGGACCGAAATCCAAGCCGCCCGCGCCCTCGTCTACAACGCCGCGCGCAAGAAGGAGGCGGGCGAGGACTTCATCATGGACGCTGCCATGGCAAAGCTCATGTCGAGTCAAGTCGCCGGGCGTGTGTCTGGACAGGCGATTGAGTGGATGGGTGGCATGGGCTTTGTGAGGGAGGGGTTGGCGGAGAAGTACTTTAGGGATAGTAAGATTGGCGCGATTTATGAGGGCACGAGTAATATTCAGTTGACGACGATTGGGAAGCATTTGCAGAAGAGGTATACGAAGTAGGGGGGTTGAGAATGCCGATTAGAGCAATAGAAGAGTAACAGTATGTTCATCAGAGCTTTTCTCATCATTGAAGTGGATGGAATGGGAAAGGGACTAGTGTGATGCTTAGAAGGGGTATGGTTCCTCTATTGTGTAGCTGGCTGTATTGCTGTTTTATTACGATGTTGTGGAGTCTACGTAGGCATCGACTACAGTCATCATCTAGACATGTATTGATGACACAAACCTTAGTATCGCGTGTCAAAGGGGTGTGATCCCTCTCCTGTGCCTTGATGTCTTTCTACTCTACTACCGTGTTGTGTAATTTTCGCAGGCATCGTTGCTAATCATTCTCTACTTCCACTGCATCTATTTCAGCTCAAACTGATCGCAGCATCTAGATATCAGGCAGTGCCATGTCCAATGTGGGCTTTGATGTACTGCGGCGTAGAATCCGCATAGGCATTGACTCTATTTTCCATATTGGAATGACGTGTGAGAGCATTGATATTTCTTCTCCAGAATGACGAAGCCTGAGTCGTAAGGAGTTCATCTGCAACTTCGGTACTCAAAAGCAACGTACACCATGTCGCGGAACGCATCGAAGCGTCCCGATGAACCCAAAATGCGTTAGAATCTAGACCATTCATGGATTTGCAATTCTCATTGTCAGGCTATTGATGAGATGTAGTGCAGTCTTGCGGCGCTCTTACCCATCTGATATCGGTCAAGATTCCCACTATAGCCCTCATACTATCGCGACATCATCTAGATGTTGTTTTGTATTGACAAATATTGGCCAAATTACAGGCCAACGCGATGAACCAGATCGTGGGCTCGCTTCAAACATCCTGGGGAGATCGTAGCGCGTAGCGGGGACATGCAACATTACCTCATCGCGCCGCAAGCAGCCTAGTGCATATCACTGTCAAATCTCACTCTCGATATCCGCCATTGGCAAACCGCTTGCTGACACGTCCTACTCAAATCACGCCACGCGTTCCTACGTGACTTGCTATGACTGCGCCGCCCAGTCACGATGAGTGCGCGGGCAGGTGCTACCAAGTGACAACCCGAGGTCATGGAAGAGACGTTCCGGAGGGGCATGTCTCCCCACTCTCGGTCCACCATCGACGCCGGCCTGGGAAGACCCATGCTACGAGACTGCGCCAACGCTGAGCGACCGGAAAATATCGCAAGAACCATGGTATGCCATCCACTGACAGCCGGAGTCGCTCCATCGTCATAATTCATATTGGTGCGACGGCTGTCGCGCATCCTGTCCTTTCGGCCTGAGGCGCGTGTGTCATGGGTGGGTGGGGGAGGCGGAGGGGAGGCGGAGGGGAGGTGGTGGAAGTCATCTCTAGGAGTGTGATGAGTCTGAAGAGTATAGTGAGTCTTTGCAGTGTTCAGTCGATTTGGTGAGTCTCGCTCCACATCGACGCCCGACTGGGTAGACCCATGTTGTTGGAATGCGCCAACGTTTGCGACCAGAAAAGCGCAAGAACCATGGTATGCCTTCCACTGACAACCCGAGTTGCTCCATCGTCATAATTCACCTTGGTGTAACGTCCCATCTTCTCGGCCTGAGGCGCGTGTCTCGTGTCGGCCCAACCTCAAACTACACACGACGTCTATCGAGTTTATAGAGTCTGTAGTCGCATCCTACGCCCCTCACATCCTTATCATACCCCTGTTTTCCTTGCAGCCCGCATCTCGCCTGTGACAGTGGCCCACCACAAATCACTCCTTTAGCCCGTTCCGTGCCAGTCCGTCAGCGCCAACGCAATCCAGGCGGTTGCAGCAGTTCCCCAGCCACATTGCATACAGAGTTTTGATCATCCTCTGGCGCAAGTCGCGTTCTCGTCACCTCATGGTCGCATAACCCACCGCCCACTATGGCGCCCTCCAAGGCTAAGGACCTGGACCGTCCAAGTGCTAGCGAGCGCATACATTCTGGCCTGGAGAATATCCTGCCAGCGAGCTTCATCGATATGCAAAAGTGCGCTGGCGACTTCCCCAAGGAGAACAAGTCACATCTATCTCCACACTCTCGGCCGTCTGCGACCCCACTCTCCAGTTTGTCGCGTTCCGTATCGTCCATGACAGACAGCTTCATGCTAGAACACTGGGGTCCCTCTTCTTCAAAGTCTACGCGACCTGAACACGATGGCAGAGACAGCGCAGAGGCCCCACCCAAGGGCGAGGACGCGCCTAGTGTTATATCAAACTGGGCGCATCTTTCCTACATCAAAACCCAGCGTAATACGCTCCGCGCTGAACTCAAGGCTCACCAGGTCGCAGGGGCTGAAGCGAAGCGGTCGGTGTCATCACTGCGGCGTCTTGCTTTTCGCATGGCCGTGAATATATCGGTCAAGGAGAAGCAGATTGCAACTACTGCAAGGAACTTGGCCAAGAGCCGGACAGCCCATTATGTGGAGGGCAAGGATGCACAGAAGAGAGTGGAGGAGTTGAAGAGGGCGCTGCGGGTTGAAGAAGGCAGGAACAAGGAGATTCTTGAGGCACTGGAGCGGGCCTCTATGCTGACACTTCAGTGTAAGTTTACCGCGTCGAGATTTTACCTCTACTGATAGATCGTACAGACTCTACCCCAAACTCTGAACCCCAACATAAACCCAAAGGTCTCTTCATCTCACCACCCCCATCTCCACCGACGCGATCAAGTGTGGTCGATAGCCCCACCCTCGCGCCGAGGACTCCAACGCGTTCGTCGCCATCGCCATGGCACGATCTAGATCTCGAGCTGACTCCTCGACTGTCAAGCCCTTCCGAGATACGCACCTCCGACAGCCGTCTTATACGAGCGAAACGCGAGTCAGATCAGGCTCTTGCTGCTTGTCGAAGCCGCATAGAGCAACTACAACGTGAATGTGCAGCGACCAAGGAAGACAGAAGGCTTCTGGAAGCCACCCGAGAAGGTCTGGAGCAGGAGATCCACAGTCACCAGTCTCGGATTGCTGCTCTAGAACGCTCGAGATCTACAGTACAAGAGACGCTGGAGTCGACTAAGGCGCAGTTGACCATCACATCAGGTGCCGAGGAGACGCTGAAGCAGGAGCTGAAGGCCAAATGTGATGAGATCGCAGAATGGGAGCAGAAGAATGGCAGCATGCATCATACGATCGAAGCGCTGCAGAAAGAGAAGGTTGATCTAAGCAGTCGTCTGGGCGAACGAAACGCCGAGACTAGGGAGCTCGAGATCCGCACAGCCACTCTAGAGGAAACTTTACACTCTTTACGAAACAAAGTCGAGACGGCTGACCGCTACGAATCATCGCTACAGGACCGCCTTGCCGACAAGGAGAGTACATGCCAGGATCTGCAAAAGCGACTTGACCGCGGGCAGGAGCTTGTCGCACGTTTAGAGCAGAAGATCACCGGCTACGAAAAGGATGCGACTGAACATCTGCGGAAGATTGAGATCGGTGGGAGTGTCATCTCTACGCTGCGTGAGCAACTACAAGAGTCGCAGTTGTCAAGCAAGAACACTGGAGACGCCCTGACAGCTTTGAAAGAGGAGCTAAAGCAGCTCAAGACTAAGTTGGAGGCTGCGGGCGATGCGAGCCGAGCGCTGTCAACAGAGCTTGAGACGACCCGGGCCGAGAAAGCCAACACCCAGAAGGAGTTACACACTGCCCAAGAGAGCCTTGAGCTCGAGGTCAAATCGAAGACCGACCTTCAAGCGGAGCTGGAAACTCTACGCACCTCTCACGACGCCATTGAGGAAAACTTGCAACAAGCTCAACAGCGCAACCAGTCTTTGGAGGCGGTCGATGCCAGGAGTCAGGCACAGCTAGAAACACTTCGTGATGAGAAGGCGGCACTCGAAGCCGATCTCAAAGACTCCCGACAGCTGTTGTTTAGACTACGCGAGGATGTACGGATGAGAGACGCCGAGCTTTCCGACCTGCAGTCTGTCAAATCGAAGCTTGAAAAGAAGCTCCAAGTATCAGAAGAACGCGTGTCGAACCTGGAGCAGGAGCTGCAACAAGTACAAGAGTCGAAGCAAGCTGCCGATGAGCAGCATGCGCAAGAGGTCCAGAAGAACGCCGAGCACCTTCGCGAACTGGAGGCATCCATGGTCAGCCTCCGAACTGTGCTTGACTCATCAGAGAAGCTGGAGGCGTCGTTGCGTCAGGAGCTAGATCGCGCGCGGACATCCAAGGATGCTGTTGAGAACGAGCTCGGACAGGCACTTCGATCAAAGACAGATCTTGAGAGTCAGGTCGAGCACATCCAATCACGACTCACATGGACTGAAGGCGATCGTGACAGCTTGCAGACCAAGATTACCCAACTTGAGAACGACTTGCATACTAGCTCACAGGCTAAGAGTGGCCTTGATGCGCGACTCTCTGCTACGACCAATGAGAGTGACTCGCTCAAGGTTCGTATCTCGGAACTGGAGGCTGCGCTCAAAACCAACACCGAGGCAAGAACGAACGCCGAAAGAGCATTGTCGATTGCACAGGTGGATGGCGAGACATCTACCAAAGACTTGGCGGATCTTCGTGAGAAGCTCGAGCAAGTTGAAGCTGCCAGGAATAGTGTGCAACAGGAGCTTAACCACGCGACTCACTCGAACACGGATCTCGAGACCCAGCTTAATGCAGCGAAGGATCGCTTGACTAAGGCGGAAGAAGCGTTATCAGCAGCACAGCTCGATAGCGAAGCTTCTAGCAAGGGCCTCGTGAATGTTCGTGGGCAGCTCGAAGAGGTAGAAGCAGCTAGAAAGGGTTTGCAACAGGAGCTCAACGTTGTGATCGGCTCCAACAAGAACCTGGAGACTCAGCTCAGCGCCGCGAAGAATCGCTTGATCAAGGCAGAATCTGAGGCTCAGGACGTACGCTCGCAACTCTCAAAGTTGCAAGATGAGATCGCGGAACTTCATCGATCGAAACAGCAACTCGAGGAACACCTGCTGGCCCACAATGCATCCCACGAAAAGCTCGATGAGGATCTACTGCTTACTCAGTCTCAACTGAAGGAGGTGCAATCCCAGATCCCGCATCTTGAGGCGCGACTAGCTTCCAGCGAAGAGGAGCTCGAAGCTATGTGCCGAGCTAAGGCCGTCACTGAGAAGCGGCTCGAAGAAACGCAGGTTGCCAACGCTAGCTTGGAGAAGGAGCTTGATATTGCGCGAAAGGATAACGAGGAGATCAAGAGTCGACTTGATAGCACCACCACCACCAACGCGCAATTGGAGAAGGATCTTACTACGGATCGTTCCAGGATGGAAGAGTCGGACGCACAAAATACCGAACTAACGTCCAAGTTAGCCGATGTAGAGAAGGAGCTCGACAGCCTCCGACAATTGAAGGATGATGTCGAAAAGAAGTTGGATGAAGCGTTGGCTATCTCAGCAAGCACGGAAGAAAGTCTCTCTTCGACTCGGACTCGGCTGAACGAGGTTGAATCGCAGAACGCCTCCATCTCTGCGGAGCTTACCAGAACGAACGAAGAGTTGAATGCTCTTCAACACACGAAGACCGAGCTGGAGAGCAAGGCAGGTAGCGCTGAACAGCAAGTGGGTTCTCTTCAGGACGAGACAACGAATTTACGCTCACGCATAGCCGAACTGGAATCAGACAGCACTGACTTGGTTTTTAAGCTGTCGGCCAGCAGCAAAGAGTTGGATGAACTCAGATCAGTTCACACAAAGCATGAGGAGTCTTCTCGATCCGCTTCAGATCGCAATATTGCGCTTGAGGCCGAATTCCGCGCTGCTCAGATGCGGCTGGACATTGCTGAGTCGGAAAGCCTGGAAATGCTCAACGATCTCATTGCTGCCAACGAGGAACTCGGATCTCTTCGCGAGTCGAACGCCACACTTGGCACTTCTGAGAAAGAACTGTTCGCCCGTCTTACCTCAGCGGAGGAGGAGCTCGAGACCGCACGTGAGAAGAACGCAAAACTGGAAGCTTTCCTTGAGCGTGTGGAAGCCGACATGGCTGATGCTCACTCCGCCGTTGAGGATACCGAGAGGCGCTACCACGAATTTGTGGAAGAGTCGCAAGCGAAACTGGATGCCGCCAAGGAGTCGAAGCAAAGGTACAAACGCCGACTTTCGGAGAGGAACAACGAGCTTGAGATCCTCATCAATGAGAACTCAGACCTTCATCAGCAGATCGGCGACCAGACACGGGAGCTAGGTGCGCTTAAGAAGGGCAAAGGCAAGCTGGTCGAAGAGCTATCAAAGAAGGAGAAGTACATCGATGAACTCGGATCTTCTACTGATAGCAGGATAAGATCAATGAACTCGGCATATGACGGCCTCAAGAGGAAGTTTGAGGAGCAGCAGCAACAGCATCGAGAGCTAGACGGCAATCACGATAACGCTGTTCGTCTAGAGGCCGAACTGGAGAGGAAGATGACTGAGATTGAAGAGATGCGACATCATCAAGATGAGTATGCTGCATCATTTACTGCGCTCGAGCAGGAAGTAAAGGCTCTGCGAGACGACAAGCGAGCTTTCGAGACATTGATTGCGACACTGCAAGATAAGATCAGACACCTGGAAGCCCTGGAGCAGTGGGATGAACCGAAAGAGAACAAGGAGTCGAGCGAACTCCATCGCACTTCCTCGCCCCGCCACATCACCATCCACGACGGCCCTTACGATACTGCTCCTTCGAGCCCCATCTCGTCTCACACAAGAAGCTCGATTGGACATATGAGTGTGCAACATGAGAGGCCGCAGACTAGCGCGAGTACCGTCTCTCACGAGGGCGATCCCGAATCCTGGGGTCTGCGGATAGAAAAGATACGTATGCAACGCGACGACGCAGCCATTCAACTCAAAGGCATGAGGAAATCGCGGCACAACCTCAAGAAGACTCTGCGGGACACAGACGCGCAACTCCACCGGTTGGAGAAGGAGACGAAGACGTAAGCCCCCTCTATCAAATCACCATGTCATGCGACTTCAAAAACTAACGAATCCCCAGTAAACGTCCCCAAAACCTCCTCCGCAAGAAATCCCGTCCCATGACACCCAACCCCCTCACCACCTCACCCGACCTATCCCGCAACACACCCTCCCCGCGCATCGGCAGCGCACCCCAAACACCCGACCGCCCCAAGACCTCTCATGCAATCTCCTCCTTCTCGCCTCGTTCCACCGTCAACGCCAATTCGCGACATAGTACATACATCGCTCCCACCGCCCCCATGACGCCTGAGAACAAAACTGCTCCCTCAGCACCCGAACGCCCCAAGACAAGTCATAGTATCAGGCATAGACTGAGTTATAGACCGACGACTAGTGGTGGTGAAGAACATGTACATAAGAGTCATGGGCATGTGAGGAAATGGAGTTCTGGGTTGAGGAGTTTGTTTCATAAGGATGGGTGAGAGGTAGCTGTTCTTTTCGCTTTCTTTGGTTGCTTTGACTTTGGATTGTGTATATTTTGCGTCTCTTTTCTTTTAGGCCAGGCTGGCTTTTCGCTTCGTGTTGCTATTGCTTGTGTTGTATTATATTTTTGTCTTCGCTTTTGTACTTTCATTAGCTTTTTGCTCGTGTCAATATTGTGCATTCTTGAGATACCAATAGATAGGGCTTATGGAGGGGGGTAATAGGTTCTTTCTAGGGTATCGTGAGTAGCTTTTCTGTCGCAGCTACGAGTAGATGCATGTTTTTACTGCTATTGACGTATGTATTTGGCATGTAGATGGACGTGAATACACTATTACTTAGCATTGAGATTACGAGCGTTGATGCATTAGACTGCATTGTGTATTGCACTACCACGATTTTGAGCTCAGAAGAGGATCTTCGAATTGCCATACATTACTAGATCCATATCTCGACGTCTCGCAGCAACGATAAGATACTTTACATTGACACTACTTTGGAGCGTTAGTCATCGTTGCTCCGAGCGTGTGGACTGGCTGTTGCCTTTACGGTTTCGCCTCGTCCGTGCACTAGCCCGCTATACTTATCAGGTAGTTATCAAGTACTCGAAGGCCCGCCCAACGGCTCACTGGATCGTAGGAACCACGACAACTACTACACACTGTTAAGCTTCAACATGCCCACCACCGCCTTCCTGGCCCTGCCAGCCGAGGTTCGCATCAACATCTACAACCACATCTCGCCAGTCAACACCTCTTTCGCCTCATACTCCGGTCTCCTCCAAACCTGTCGCCTCATCCGCAAAGAATGGAAGCACGAAGCAAAGAAACACATATCCAAAGAATACACCCAACTCCTCGCTTTCCTCGCGATCCACAACATACGCATCCTCACGTCTGCCCGCGATCCATCAAAAAGATCAAAGCTCGTACTCCGCCTCCCACCACTAGACCCAACATCAGGTACCACCAGGCTGCCAAATTTCCTTCCCTGGCACTGGTCCTGGATTACCACCGTCATCATCATCTTCGGCAACGAGTGGCCGCGAAATTACAGGTCGCAACTTGCCATGTACGACCTGTACTGCGACACGTACAAGGTGCTGTGTCGAGATATCCTAGCCAATACTGCACGTAGTATTCCAGAGTACAGCAGTAAGTTGTGCGAGACGACAAATCGGTCTAGTATCAGGCACATCAGTCTGCGCTGGTACAATGTTCCCCTGGATACGCGGGTTGGCCCATCACGCTTCGGGGTTATACCTGAGCCTTGGCTTCAGTATGGCGAGGACTTTGAGTATCCCTTGCGTCTCTGGGATATGCAGACTCGGCATTATTTAGAGCAGGGGACTAGCTGTTTCAGTGTGGTCTGGCGGCGCAGGAGCTGGAAAGATGTTCCGAAGTGGTACTGGGTATCTCGTGGAATCGGGCGGTTCTCTTACAAAGTCATCCGAGCAATCTGTATTGTTGCTGCCGTGTGGAGTGGCTTGTCGACACTGGAATTGTTGTACAATGAGTATATTCGTGCTTAGTGGTAAGTTCTCCGCGGACGTTGGAGATGAATGTATGGATGTGCTAAATGAGTCTTTTCATTATACATCGTGTCCTCCCCCCTTGATGCACCTTTTTCCCTTTGGCATCCCCTCATATCTCGCATACTCTCCGCCTCTTACCATGGTTGTGTCGCTAGCTGCCGCACTAGCTCTTCATTGAACTCTTTTTCTAATCTCTCTATATCCTCCTCCGTCGCCTCCTGTTCTTCTTCCTTAACATTCGCCGAGCCCCAGGGCTCCAACCCTACACTCCACCAATCCGTCTTGAACATTGAATCCCACCCCTTACTCTCAATTTCCCTCCTCTTAAAGCTCTTTGTTGACCTACGCCCTCTTCTAGCCAGGCTTGTTGTAAACTCCTCTTTGTGAAGGAGCGTGTTTGAGATTAGTCTGTGGAGCTCCTTTGGTGGGGCTGCGCTATTGAACTTCCGCCAGAGCACTGTTTCAGAGAAGGTGACATGTTTATCCTCGATCAATACGTACCCGGATGTAGGCGTGGGCTTGCTTCTCAGTCCGCGGTTCAGTGCCGATTCCACGCACTCAAGACCCCTGCGATAGTTCCGCTTGCCCGCTTCTCCAGCCCACATTCTTTCGTCTTTAATCGCATCCGCAATCTCCTTCTTCAAACCCTTAACAAGATCCAAAAGAGGGCCATACCGCCCCGCAATCAACGGCCAATACCTTTCCGCCGCAGTCCTCCAATCCCTGCAGGGATATTTGGATTGGTGTTCACACCTCATCTCTATCCTCCTCATACTGCAATGCACATCGTAAAACTCTTCCACGCAAGCTGCGTTATCTTTGTAGCCCTTTGAACTATACACGAGATCCTCGAGCGTCTTCAAGATTTCCTTTTGTTGTTTCTTGATGCGTCGCAACGTACACGATGCGTAGAGATCCAAGGAGTTGCAAGGGGAATGTATGTCTTTACATTGTCTCTCTATCATTTCTTCAAGTGTTGTGCAGACTTTCATGAGGCGTTCCGCTTGATCGCGTGTGATGTGCATGCCGGCGATGCGCGCCTTGGGTGCTTTGGATGCTGTGGGCGCCTTGGATGCGTTCGGCGCTGTCTTTGTATTTGTCTTCGTAAACCAAGACATAAGGAATGTGTGAAGATAGTATAAATAAGAGAGAGATTGTTGCGCGCATTGCTTTATTGCGCGGCTTGGTGAGGTGGGTTGGGGCGGATTCGGTACCCTGGATGGGATTTTGATGCGAGCCAGTGAGGAAGAGCGCATTATGGTGGAAGGGGCTGTGGTTTGGTTGATGGGTGGAGGTGCGGCTTGCGTGTGAGCCAGGAGGCGACGTATCACTTGCACGTTACGAATAATGAGATAATGTAGGGGCTGTGCGAGGCTGGTTTTGTTGCGCATTGTGAAAACGGGCTGTTGAGTGTGAGATAAGGGAAAGGGTCTGAGAAGACGGGCGCCTGTGAGACAATCTGGTTTAGGGAACAAACAACAAAAAGAGCAAGCAGATGTGATATGTCAAGCACTAGACTTGACTGCGTTCATATCGGAGTCGCTCTGCTGGCTGTCAAATGTGAATAATATTGGTTGAATTAGAACAACGTGATTACATGCCTCTGCGCTCACATCTTCGCCCTATCCCCATGGTCCGTATTCACAAGAACATAACGATACCGTGCATGTCCCTCCTCCATATCAACCACACTCTTATTCGCATCCTTCATATTGCGCTTCTGCACCCAAGGCTTAATCCCCTTGTCTGCCGCGAACTGAAGCATCTCCTCAATCTCCTTCGGACTGCCAATCTGACTACCCCCGATCTTGCATCCTTTGCCAATAAGACCGAACGCAGCGATTTGAGGGAGCTTGTCTTCTGGTGCGCCGACCTGGATGAATGAACCGCCTGTACGGAGAAGTCGGAGATAGGACTCGAGCGGCATGTCTGGGGAGGAGACTGTGCTGATAATGAGGTCGAGACTTCGGCTGTGGTTGCGCGCCCACTTGTCGTCTTCGGACGTCGCGATGTAATCCGTTGCGCCCATAGCTTTTGCGTCGTCGACTTTGTTCCTCCTTCGGCTTATCGCTACGACCTTTTCGCACCCCAGTGCTTTCGCGAACAAGACGCCGAAATGGCCTAAGCCCCCCAAACCTACGATTCCGACCTTCTTCCCAGGACCTGCGCCGTTATTCTTCAGCGGCGCATAGACGGTGATGCCGCCGCACATCATAGGCGCTGCTTCTTCGCTCTTCAATCCAGCGGGTATCTTGATAGCGAAATGCGCTGGGACGCGGACATAGTCTGCATATCCTCCCATGCTCCAGCTTCCATCCGGGTACTTCGCGTTGTATGTGCCCACCATCTTCGGGCAATGCTGCTCAATGCCCGCCCTGCATTCCTCGCAGTCGTCCTTCAAGCAGCTGAAAGCCTGCGCGCCTACACCCACTCTGTCGCCTAAGCGCAGGTTCTTGACTTTGTCTCCCACACGCACGACGTTTCCGACGATTTCGTGGCCGACGCATACGGGATAGTGGGTTGCGCCCCAGCCAGATCGCAGGGTGTGGATGTCGGTGCCGCAGATGCCGCAATGGGAGACTTTGATGTCGATATCGATGGCGTTGAAGGGCTTAGGTTGGAAGGACGACCATGTCATGTTGCCTTGCGCCGCATTCTTATCGTGGCCCAGCCAGCCGTGGAATTCGGAAGGGGAGGTCATCTTCGTTTGGAGGCGGGATCTCTAACACTGGAAGGCGGGGTGAGGTAATTTGAGCTGGTCAGAAAACTATTCGAGGAATTGGTCGCAGTGTTAGCTATGAAGAATTGAACGACAGTAAACGTCGAGCGTTGTCGCGCATCGCGCAGCTAGGACCGAGGATGGCCGACGTCATGGTGTTGGGACAATGTTATCCGAGGCATCTCGCCGGAGCCCTGGACACCAGATGAGGGGGACACGGCTCATGAGAAAGAACAACCCCCATCATCGCGAAGAGTCACGATAGATTCAGCGGCGCGATATCGTGTCTCTGCAGGTGTCGAGAACGATCTTGTCCTCGGCTCCAACACTTCTCTGGCTTCCCGTTGCAAACTTCGCATACCTTTTCATCGTGTAAACGGGCCACACAATGTTGTCTAGCAGCGGTTCTCGTCCAACGCACAGCACATTATACAACGGCCTACGCACACGGCGAGTAGTGACGTCTCTGGTGACCATCTTCTGTTTGTATAAAATATTCGCCCAATGTAGCCACCTGTGTTGCTTCGGGTGCTGAACGACTCGGAGAGTAACGTTGACACTGGAGAAACAGGCGCTCCATTCTGCCGCAAGGTCCGCGACGTCTAGATGAGCCCAGCTATGGCTCCCTCGTAATGTGTAGACGGATGGGTAGAGTGAAGCGAACTTAGCAGTATTAACGCTCGTTAGGTGGAAGGATACCAGGCGGAACTCTTGAAGCAGCTCGTCCTAAGAGCTGTTCGCTGATGTCGCACCATCTATCCCCGCGAAAAGAATTAGGACTCGTATAGCCCGACCTGCGAGTTTCTGGACATGACCGATGGCATCCATACACATCCTACGATACCCTCGACAGTCGCCAAGTTGACTGAGGATTGTGAGAGCGGAGGTGACGTGTCCCAAGTTGTATGGAATCCAGATTGGCGTGTATGTGTCCTCATGGAGAACCGTTTCGACGTCCTTCATTGCATGCGGCTCGGGCAGACGGTTGTACAAATGCTCCCAGTATTGATAGAGGGCTTGTGCTCTTTCGTACCACTCAATCGCTGTATCGCTAAACCCGCTGTTCTGTCTGCGATGATTACTCTTCCTGCAAGCCACGAGCACAATATCGTAGACTTCGTTGACGTCGTCTGAGTTGTCTGCGACGTGCACGTCGCTGCCGAAGAGAGCTAGTTCCTCGGGTGTGCTCGGCAAATGGAGAGCGGTGTTGTTGAATACGGGCAGGTCAGGGTACTCGGCGCGGTTTGGTAGAGTCGGAACGCCATCTACAATCTGGAAACACTTGTTGTACGCGGGACTTCGCATGGTCCGCCAACTTGGGTCGTAGACAGCTGAGGACCGTGAGTACTGCATGTGCACTGTCGCGCTAACCCGCGACCATCAGTCAGCAACTCTAATGCCCAGGCATATCGGCAGCTCACTGTGATATACTCCTGGGTATCTTCTTGGCTTAATTACACCAGCGTCCAATCTAGACACAAGACATTAACTGTTAAGATTGAGGCGATCACGAGACTGCCCAGAGCTCTGTTCCTTCATGCTACTGTACATTACTACGACGCGATGCATTGATATAACGCGAGGACCAAATCTACCAACCCCTAAGCCTCGGTCTTCTTCATCCCCTTCGTGAACAGCGGACTCTGCTTAACGCGTTCCCAGTCATGAAGCATCATGGTATTTGCCGTGCCATCCCTAACCTCCGTACCCCCACGCCTAATCATCTCCTCTTCAAACGCATCAACCACAGCTTTCCTGTCCTCGCCAGCCTGAATCTTAGTGATAGCTTCGAACAACTTCCCAGCGTCTGTGACAGAGTGATTGAGGCCCTGACCTCGCTGGTACGTCATCGGATGCACAGCGTCGCCCACCATAGTAATTAAGCCGCGATGGTTATCCCAGCGATGGCCTTCCATGCCCGGGTCCCAGTCCGTGAGCCCGAGATACCACACAGGTGTGCAGTCTGGCGTCCATTCAAACGCACTCCTCCACGGGTCGCAAAACTCTTTCGCGAATTCTTTTTGTTGCGCGAGGCGCTGGGCACCGGTCCAGTTCTTTGTGGCCTCCTGCTCTTTCAAACTACTTCTCCACGAGATGTAGTAGAAGAAGGTCCAGGAAGTCGGGTCATCTTCGTCCGGCGCATCATGCATGCCGAAGAAGGCGAAGTTGTTATTCGGGTGCGCACATGCTAGATACAGCGGGTGGAATGACCGCAAGAAGCGGGCTTGCTCGGCGGTAAACTTGCACTGGACAAACGTGCACGCATACGGTATGTGGTTGATGGAGCCCAATTCCCTCCCGAGGAGAATCTGCCTGGTGGAAGAGCGCGCTCCATCCGCGCCAACCAGCATGCGTCCCGTCGTCGAGGTTCCGTCGGCGAAATGGGCAGTGACTGAGTCATCATCAGGTGAGTATGAGACGTCGTGTAAGCGCTTGTCGAAGTGTATGTCAAGGCCTTGCATTAACAGGTCGCGCAACTTGCTCCTCCGTAAGCGGTAGAAAGGCCCGAAGGTGATGGCTGCAACCAGCGCTCCGGTATCGCCTCGCAGCCACTTCAACGTGTCCTGCTCTTTCGTGGGGACATTCGGGTCGACCTGGACGCTCTGGATGCGGTCCCACCAGCCCTCTGGCATGAGGCTTTTCAGGACTGGCGCGCCCCAGTGAAGGCCCATGTTCCAGTCGCGCTCGCCATGCGTGGCAGCGTTCTTCTCGAACACGACGCACGGGATGTTCGCCTAGTTGTTCGAATGAGGCTACTCTTTTGCATTACACAGACGGTGTACATACTTTGCGGAGCCCCTGTGCGAGTGCAAGTCCAGCGGTTCCTGCGAGCTGGTCAGACCGTGTGGTGCAGCATGTATGCGGCGTCACCGTCGCTTACCAGAGCCAATGACGAGGATAGGGAGCTGCGCCGCATGCGCTTCGCCGTCGGCAGTTGGTTTTTCCATGTCAAGTCGCCTGAGATCATCGATGGACTTTGGTCATACTCTCAACCTGTTCTTCGTCTTCTACAACAAAGTTCGAGTATCCACTGTAGAGGTGCTCTTGGCCCACCCTCTCCAACCCGTGCCGCCTGCCAAAAGGGCCGATTAGACAACGGCGATGAAGGGAATGACGCCGTCTGCGGCCCGCAAATGAGCCAGTCCATCAATCACGAGATGCATCCATCGACACCCTCCTTTTCGACGTTGTTGGCAGGCTCGCCAATGGCCTGACTGCCTCGGACACCCAGAGTCTTCGTACAACGTCGGTAGAGTGCCGCCAGCACGCGCTTACCCCGACGCCTCTAACAGCCATGCAGGCGATGCAGCACCGTTCCTTTTGCGCGTGCATTACACGCGCATCAACGAATGGCAGCGACCGGAGCAGACGACCGATCCGCTGGATCTACTCGGGGATGCTGCGCGAACGCGGCGCCATCGGTGCAATGCTCCACTTTGCCAGAGACCCCTCGCCCATTGACAGACGCCTCCAAACGAGAGTCAGCGGCCGGCCAGCGTCCAGCAACTTCCCAGTGCATCGGCTCCAACTCTCCAATATGTAACCCGTCGTTTCCGGGCGTCGCGTCGATATCTCCCACTCCTCCTCGCCGCGCACTCTCACGACAGCACCATGGCGTCTTCATCTTCCCCGAAGCCTTTCGAGGGCATCGGCTTGCACCAGCAGGATAGCGCCGTGCATCTAGGAGACGACGCGCCTTCCTCTTCCTCGTACCCACAACAACACGCCCCCGTACACCACGCAGCGCCACAAGACTCCGAAGCTTCCCCCGTCGACGACGATGGCCTTGGCTTCTCGTCCGACTCAGCCTTCGACAGCGGCAGCCTCCTTGGCGACGAGACCGATTCGCTAGCCTCGTCCATCCTCCACCACCGCATGGAGAATGGACGGCAGTACCACGCATACCGCGACGGCGCATACTGGGGACCAAATGACGAGCTGGCCAAGGAGATACTGGATTTCGCACACCACATGTACCTCCTGACGCTCGACCAGAAGCTGCATCTTGCGCCGCTGGTTAATCCACAGACGATATTAGATTGCGGCACAGGAACCGGCATATGGGCAATTGTACGCTGCCCAGCCATATCCCCCAACACAGGCTAATAATACATGTACAGGATATGGCAGACCAATACCCCTCAGCAACAGTAACAGGAACCGACCTCTCCCCCATCCAACCCGAATGGGTCCCGCCAAACTGCCACTTCGAAATCGACGACGTCTCGCTCGAATGGACCTTCCCGCCCAACCACTTCGACTTCATCCACATCCGCGAGCTCTTCGGCTGCATCCCCGACTGGGATTTCTTCTTCCAGCAAGCCTACAAGCACACCAAACCAGGCGGCTGGATAGAAATCGTAGAGCACTCCGTGTGTCCTACATCCGACGATGGGTCAATGGGCCCAGACCACTTCTACCATACCTGGGGGAAAGTGGTGGTGGAGATGGGTGATCGGTTCGGCAAGACGTTTACGATTTGGGAGGAGAGTGCCGAGAGGATACGACGAGCGGGGTTTGTGGATGTGACGGTTATGGAGTATAAGTGGCCGATGAATGGGTGGCCGACGGATAAGAAGTTGAAGAATATTGGGCGGTGGAATCAGCTGAGGTTGATGGATGGGGTTGAGGGTTTTATGTTGAGGTTGTTGACGCAGGTTGGCGGTGTGAGTCTTGCTGAGGTTGGTGTGGTGGATTAAGCTGACATGATGCAGTGGTCTGTTGCACGAGCACAACTGCATCTAGCGCAGATGCGCAAGGAGTTGAAGAGTTACCGGACTCATGCGTACCTACCTGGGACTGTCGTCTACGCGAGGAAGCCCATCAAGTGAAAGATCGGCACGTTGCATCGATCTTACACATCGAGATGCGACTCCACACTCGGGCCCAGCTCTTCTAACTACTCCAAGACGGATTAGCTTGACTGTGATCACAACGACTATTACGGGTACCTCTGGATCGACCGCGCAGTTTTACCCATCACGCATGTGAAACAAGATGATGACCAAGAAGGAAGCGTGTCATTAGATATCAGATCTACGAAGATCGTGATCCTTTTTGGGAGAGGAAGACCAGGAACCGCCTCCAGTTTCGGACGTGAACCCGAAAACCCGCAGTCTCATCTAGCTTCCAACATCGTGGTCCGAATTACCATCGTCCCTCATATCGACGCTCGACACCGTTCCGTCTTAAGTGCGGGGGCAGTCGACGGACCTGCACTTGCCGCAGTTGTCTTCCGCAGTGCTCGCGCACAGACACAGAGCCTTGCAGATCATATCGTCGGCGCCGCACTTCTTGCTACATTCGTACCCGGCATCGCGGCAAGCTTTACAGTGTTCGCTGTTGACGTCGTCGTCGTCGCTTCCCTCCCGAGCGTTGGCAGCGGCAGCGACTTGCTCATAGTCGGCAGTCTCCGGGCCAGCAAGAGCAATGTCGTGGTCGGTGAACTCCCATTGATCGCAATCTTGAGGAGCCTCGACGCAGCCTGTGGTAGAGTTAGTATAGATAGAACGGGAGTGAAGCTCTCGCTGAGCTAGAGAATGTTATCACGTACCTTGTTGGCGACAAATTGACTTCGGGTTCGAGTGCAGCATACAGGCGCAGTAACCCTCGCAGTGGGGACCAAAGCCGCACGCCTTGAGGCAATACGGCAAGGCCTCGGAGCAGCCCTGTGTTGCGCAGGTGTTGTCGTCGCCATTGACATCAGCAGTCTGAACAAATCCCTCGGGAGCGTCTTGGTTGTAATTGATGGTTCCAGGGTCGACCTGAGTAGCAGTCTCGGACGAAGCCTCGTCAACAGTCGCGGAAGCAGCTTGGTCAACAGCCGCAGAAGTATCTTCGTCTCGACGAACTTTGCCACTGAGCTCGTACTTCTCACAACCTTTAGGCCCTGGCTTCTTGCACGCTGTAATCTGTGTTAGCGAAATATCCAAACTCCCACTCCACGGCTGCCGCAGGGTATCAGCTGTTTCACATACTTGGATCATTGTTGCACTTGATATTCTTGCCGAGAAGCTTGTACACCTTGCACTCGCAATAGTGCGCGCAGTGAGGACCGTAGTTGCACGCGACAACGCAGTCTTTCACGACATCCCTGAAGTTCCTCACGTCGCTCTTTTTATCGTTGTTCGCGCTTGCGAGAGCGGCGAGGCTGACGACTAGGAGGAAGACGGTGGTGAGGAAGCGCATGGTGGTGGGTTAACTGTTCGTGGGTCGAGTTGCGTTGGTGGGGATGGGAAGGGAGGTGAGGGGCAGGCGGAGGCGCGGTGGAAGGAGCTTTTTTGACGGAGGAGGTGAGAGCGCGGTGGTGTATTTACGTCACCGCTTGGACGAGCGTCTGCGCGTGGGGAAAGCGCTGCCTAGGTAGGTGGATCTTGTGGAACGGTCGTGCGTCGCGTGTGAGTGAAGGTGAATGGAAGGTGCGCCTTGCGCGCGACAAAGAGTGGCCCGGAGGCGAAGCATATTCTGTCGTAATCGAGAGAGTATGAGGCTCTGGTACTGCTCACAGCGGAACATCTAGTGCAACGCGGGAGCTGGAGATAGGTACGACGCATTGATCTTCGTTGGCGATCCTATGTTATCTGCTCTTTCCCATGTCGCGTAACTCGATACTCGGCTCTCTTTTCACTACAACCTCTTTCCGCACCCAGATATCGACATCCTTATCTCCTCGCATAGAAGATGGCTTGCGACTTCGCTGACTAGAGATCTCTATGTAACTTGACAAATGCCCTGTAACACCCGCGGATGTGTAACCCGACATCGTAGCAACACCCGCATGCTGTGCGCTCCACAGGCCTGAGTCGAGGCTCATCATGAATGGCTTCAGAAAGGGGATGGTCGAAGTCATTATACTGGCCACTTGCACTATTTGTCCGCAAACGACGATGTGCCATATTGAGTGGAGAAGATCGCCGTCTTGGGGTAAGGTGCGGATGTATGCGATTTGGGTGGCTGAGGCAAAGACGACGCTGTGATTGTTTGTGTTAGTGCAAGCGGAGTGGTAAGGCAGTCTTGACAAAGCGTAACATGACTTACACTATGCGTGACCAGAAGCCTGTGATGAGCGTGAAACGTTTTTCCGGGGTAATCTGCAGCGGTAGGACCATCAGTGTCGGTACACCAGCGAGCGCAAGATCAGTCACGATGTTCATGACAGCATTGTAGGTGCGTACGGCGCGCTGGATGATATTAGCTACTGATTCATACCAGGAGATGCAGATGATCAAACTTACGAGGTCCATACACGTCGGGTTCGTGATATCCCATCTTTGAGGAGACGGACATTGGAAGGCGATAAGGAACACAGCGCTCAGTCCCCATAGCACCGTCAGAACGCCTGTAGCGCGCATCATCCTCCGGTGTGTGTCGACAGGCGTTACTGACGCCAGCGAGACGAGCAAAGAGCCTTTAGCGGCAACGATCGCAAGAATGCTCAAGATCTCGCTGCTGAATAGAGCCTGACGCTGTCAGCCTTGCGTTACAAAGTCTCCGCAATCTATACCTTCCAGGCCCCATTAATCTGATGCGGTTCGAGGCCAGCTTGTAGATTCCCAATCGGCTGGCCCGCTGGACTGAGGAGAGTCGCTGCCTGTCCTGCTGCGAAGACCTGCAATGCCGTTCGTCAGTGTGGATAGTCATGCTTCACCTCCTCAAGAACCTACCAAAGCCACTAGGAGCACAAAGTCGGCTTTGACAAAACGCTTGGACATGGCTTTCTTCGTCGCAAATTGCGCTACGACTGCTAGTATCGAGAAGGCAAGGAAAAGCCATGCGAGGATCTGAATCAATGGTGCTGCATAGCCTTCGTGGAACGCAGGACGCTTGCCAGCATCCATAGCCTTACGTTTGGAAAACATGATGATTTACGTTTCGGAGTCTAGGGCTGAGATGTCGTGATGGTCGTTCGCGAGGTCATGGCATTAGTGATATATTCCAACACGAAGAACTCAGCTTCTCCTGTCGTTATCTCTGCGCCTCCATCCAACACGCTGTAATTGCATGGTGCCCACGGACGTCTCAGGGCGAAAGAAATGATGTCGTTCTGCTTCCATCTCACCTTGAAGCTCTTTCATCGAGGATTCCTGAACCCGCTTGGCTGGTATCACACCCACGTAGGCATGTGAAAATGCTACTTTCGAGAGCTTGCATGTGCGATTAGCTATCATACGCAAGGGTATGCAAGAGGCTTACTTCTATAGTACTATCACCCCGAAAGGCTTGCGTATGCTTCGCAAGCATGTTATGATGTTCCAACGGTGTGATAGGTCGCTTAGAAGATCTGCGCCACATGCGTGCAGATATCCGTATCAGACCACCAATCAGCCGGAGAGCAGACCATGTGCACATGTCGATAAGACGCAAAGAGGAAGGCAGCGGTAAATGAGCCTTGCGGGACATGCCGTGGGTGTTTGTGCGACCATGGCGGCTGCTTCAGACGTCAATGCTTAGCCAATGCTAAGCCTCGCTCGGGACGGTAGCGTCCGCGGCACCTAGTCCAGCTTCCACCCGGATCCTGCAGGATGCGGATTGAACAGGGCTTCTTTCATTGAGGTAAGGGTCCGACTGTTGCGCTGGGAAGAGCTGGGGACTCAAAGCCGGTTCAAGCTGTGTAGAGCGCGTATGTAGTACTGACCTAGAAGTCTACTTCGTGTGTATGCGAAATCGCGAATCTGGCTCTCCTGTTCGAATGTGAATACATTCGCGCACAGAAGAGCAGCCTCAAACCATCATGGGAACGCCGTTATCATGACCCCCGCGCGGCATGCAGTGCGGCAGAGAATGCGGCACAGCATGTAACCTGCTGAATGTGTTTAGCGAGACAATCTGGATGAATCCTCGCGTAACCGACGTTTGAACGCGAAGACGTGCATCATAGCTAGTTTAAGTGCCTGCATTTACTTTTTGTTCGCCTCGCACCCATTGCAGTGTTCGTCCATATCTCTTCTGTTTGAAAGCCTCTTCACATACCTCATCCGTAGCCATGGAACTTGGCAACCGAACGAAAGCTGAAGCTGTCACTTCGGCCATTGAGGACGCCGAGCATGATGGTTACACTCGAGATGACAGGGATCTCATGCGGCTGGGCAAGAAGCCTGTGCTGAAGCGTAACTTTGGCTTCATGCAAATTTTGGGATTCGTAAGTCCGGGGTGTAAGGGGCGTATGCGAGACGTTCACTGACTTCGTTTTGCAGTCATGCACTGTGTTGGTAACCTGGGAAGGAATCCTCCAAGTATCGACCCCGAGTTTGCTCAATGGCGGTCCTGCAGGCGTGTTCTGGGGCTACATCCTCATATGGATCGGTTCATTATCTATCTACACGGTTTTGTCGGAGTTGTCGTCCATGGCGCCTACGGCAGGTGGGCAGTATCAGTAAGGAAACTGGCCATGACAATGTTCATAGCTGACGTGCTCATAGCTGGGTTGCTATGTTAGCCCCACCATCGTACAGAAGATTTCTGAGCTACATCACGGGATGGGTGACACTCATTGGCTGGCAGGCCACTACCGCTTCTTCTGCATACCTTGCCGGAACTATCCTGCAGAGCACAATACTCATGTGCGACGAAAGCTACTCGCCAAAGCCGTACCAGGCGATGCTGCTCGGCTGGGCTGTGCTCGCCTTTGCGGTCATCATCAACACGGTCGGAAGCAAAACACTCGCACACTTCGAAGGATTGATCTTGATACTCCACATCCTGGGCTTCTTTGCAATCCTGATCCCGCTTGTGTATCTCGCCCCTCATAGCAATGCCTCAATCTTCACCACATTCGTCAACACCGGGGGCTGGTCGACGCAGGCGCTTTCGTTCATGGTCGGGCTTCCATCATCTGTGTTCGCCCTGGTTGGTGAGTATTTTTCCTGATGTAGTGACGGGGCCAAGATCAATGCTAATTCAGATAGGCGTTGATTCATGTGTGCACGTAAGTTGCTCTTCCGCCGATCGGTTGCGGTCGTGCTAATCCAAATTTAGATGGCCGAAGAAGTCAAGAACGCGTCTAAAGTCGTTCCACGAGCTATCCAGATCAGCGTATTGCTGAATGGCACACTTGGTCTTGCGATGTTGATCGCGTATCTGTTCTGTCTTGGGGATCTGGACGATGTTCTGGCGTCCTCAGCAACACTCGGATACCCCTACCTATACGTGTTTTTGAAAGGTACCGGCTCAGCTGCTGGGGCTGCGACCATGGCTATGATCATGTGGACCCTCGGCGTCTGCTGTCTGGTGGGCCTCATGGCTGCGACTTCACGACAAATGTGGTCTTTCGCGAGAGACAACGCTATGCCGTTTTCCGCTCAAGTCACCAAGGTGAGTAGCTCTCCCAGTTCACGCAGCCGTCTTGATACTAACCCTCACAGCTCAATCCTCGAACGCTCATTCCTGTCAACACGATCCTCATCACTGCTGTCATCAGTGTGCTTCTGTCGTTCATCGCACTCGGCTCGTTTGTCGCCTTCAGTAACATCGTCAACCTCAGTATCGGCGGCCTCTACGCTTCATACTTCATCGTCTGCGCCCTGCTCCTGTGGCGACGTCTCAAGGGCATCAGTCCCTACAACGCGCGAGCTGCGATGGTAGGACCAGAGTCGCTGCAATGGGGCCCTTGGAAAGTCCCGGGTGCGTTTGGCGTCGCCAACAACATCTTCGCCTGCGTCTATCTGTTCGTACTGTGGTTCTTCTCGTTCTGGCCGGGCTCGGTCAAAGTGGATGCGCAATCAATGAACTTCAGCTCAGTCACGTTTGGAGGGACCGTACTATTCGCCATCGTCTGGTATTTTGTAAGAGGCAAGAGAACATATGTCGGGCCCATCGTTGAGGTAGCCTTGTAGTACTTCGGCGGAACGGCGACTCTTGGTAAAGACAAAGCACAGTAGCTTGAGCTGGCTTTCGTTTTCCCTTTCAGCATGCGGAAGGCGCAACAGAGCCCGGAGTGCCGGTGCGACGAGAAGGGGAGGTGGTGCTATCGCGATAGATACATTGATAT